CGCTCTGCTTCATGTTTCTTCCATGTCTCCAGCAGGAACTATCATCTGCGGATCGGAAGTTACAACATTTTCTTACTCTCCAAGAACAGTGGAAGCCAAAGTCCATGGTTATGCTGATGCCAGCTCACCGGAATGACATGCCTGCATGATTTATGCCCATTTACCATGTCGGCCACTCCGGCTGGCTGCTAGTAAACAGCATCTGCTCCAAAGGAATTTCAGAGAGAAACCAGCCACCGCTGGCTCCTCCTGGTGACTGATCCACCTGGGAAGCAAGTGCTGGCCAAATGGCTCTGTTTCCCCTGCAGGAAGGAGGGAGTTGCCCTCCACTCCCAGATTCTTCAGCAGCAGATGTCTGCTTCACCCTGGAAGAGAGGCTGAATGTTGTGAACAGGCTGCCTCTTTGGTTTGGCTATTTATTACCAGCCGTAGCTCTAGACTTAAAATCTAGGAGAACAGAGACTGTGACTTCTGTGCTTATCATTGACAAGCAAAGTGCTAGACCTAGTGGAGGCGCCTCTGTACCCACTCAAGCGAGTGGCGAGCGAGTGAATCCACCAGGATTCAGCTGCCAGTCGGTGCCCAACTTTGTTAGCGACCAAAGAGTAGAATGGCATCCAGAAACCCAAACTCCCAGAAGACAGCCGGGTGCTACTGAAGGCAGGCACACTGCTCCCAGAGAGGCCGAGGAGGAGTCCTCACCTCAGTACTGGTTCCCACGTCTCTGCGTCCAACATTAATTGTTCTTTTTTTCCTTCTCGTTTTCTGAACACTTATGAATCAGCCACCACGTCAAACACCTTGTACATGTTCCATCCTAACAACAACTCCATGTGACAAGTTACTCTCCCCATTCTACAGATGAGATGACTGAGGATCCAACAGATTAAGGAACTTTCTCATGACACATGGCTGGGAAGACTGGGTTCCAGCCGAGGTCTTTCTGGGCTTGGTCACCGTCCTAGCCATGACACACTGCTGCCCTCCTCCTTAAGTACTTCTTGAAAACAGAAAACCCAGCCTATCTGGCAGACGGATCTGGAAATGTGTTCTAGAATGCTGGACCCTTGGGCAGCAGCTGTGATGAGAGGTGTTAGGTTAGCGGCACCCCATAGTGAAGGTTTCCAGCACACAATTGTAGAGATGCACCCTCTGCTCTCATGTGGGGTCTGGAAAAGCCTTGTTTGCCCCAAGAACTTTGACCAGTGCTCAAGGTTCCACATGCTTCAGATGGAATCACGGGACTCTGTTCAACTACCTCGGGAAACAGAGGAAGAAGTGGTTTCATGGGGAGATGGAAGACATGCCCAGGGCTCACATTAAGCCAGGTCAGTCTTGAGGGTTCCTAAATGCCATTAGGGCCAAGGAGACCTTTCAGCGTCTGATGAAGGCTGTGGACCTTCTTCCCAGGCAAGATGTACCAGGCTCCTTCATACACACACGGTTCTGTAAAGCACCCTGAGCGACCAGAGACCCCAGGTTAAGAACCCCTGTAATACCTTCTCTCAGAGCTCAGCACTACCAAGCTCAGGGCATTTCTCCTTCTAAGACAAGGATTCCTTCTAATAGAAAAGAAGAAAAATCAGGAAAAGTCCTATTAAAGCTTTCCCTCCTCTTTGCACTTAAAAATAAAACTTAATGCCAGAGAATTATTCAACTCTAAGACAAGGATTCCTTCTAATAGAAAAGAAGAAAAATCAGGAAAAGTCCGATTAAAGCTTTCCCTCCTCTTTGCACTTAAAAATAAAACTTAATGCCAGAGAATTATTCAACAGAAGATCCAGATAAGTAAGGTCTAAAACATGTATCTATGCCACGTTCAGACTAAGAAACAGTCAAACTGCTTACAGAAGCAATGGGGCACAAAGACAGTAAACACCATACTGGCCCAGTAAACCAGGTGGAAATGGTTTTACCCATAAAAATGCCATATTTCAGGGCACAAAAAGGCACTTGCCCCTATGACATCTTCTTATAGCTTCAAACCATTCATCAGGTCCCGGTTACATGTTCTGGAGTCAGAAAGATGTAAGCTATGATATTGCCAAGCTATGCATCCTCCAGCAATAGTTTATTTGGGCAAGCTATTGTAATTTGTAAGCCTCAGTTTCCCCGAGAGATTTCAATGTTTATCAGATGGGGTTTATATGAGGATTAAATGAGATGACTCCTGAAAAGTTTCTGGCTTGGCACTAAGACAGAAGCAGTGCTCAGTGACTGGTAGCCAATTGCAATTATTTTGACTATTATTAGCATGTTTACTCTTTGGGATTAAATAAAAAGCAAGTTTCTATTAGAGTAGAGAAGAACCTAGCTCTTCCAGATGTCCAAAAAAAGCTCTTTTATGCAGCAAATACACTCAAAACTGACTAAGAAATCCTACTTACAATAGAATTTCACAGTTTCAGCCTGGGGGTGGGGAAAGCTTTCGGTAATTCAACATAAAAAGATTAGCTTTCTAGATAGGATTCTCCAAGACATAATAACAAAAGATATCCATAACACTCACCAAACTCTAAACTTAGGGAACTGTATATATGGGAACGCTGATATCTCACAACGCATCAAGTAAGTATTCAAAGAGGAACATTTGAGAGCTGAGACCCACAGCTATTACCCAATTCCCAGTAAGTTAAGAAAGAGGCCGTAGGTGTGGATCACTTCACTATCAGCAAATATTCCCTGCTTAAGCTGAGCAGGGCAGCTCCTGCTCCAAGTATCAGATAAAAACAAGAGTTACTGCATTGTTGAATATCACAGAAAAGGGATATCTGCTTCCAAAAAAAACAGGCAGTGCTAGTTTAGTGAGGACTGAACATTCTTAACAAATGCAATGGAACAGATCAGAGGAGAAAACTTACTGGTTCCCAAACCACCAGGCAATGTTTGCATACATCCCGAGCTGTGCCTGCCTCGCCTGCAGTGGGCTTGCTTTGCCCCCTAAAAGGAGAGCAAGGGGGCTTTCTACCGCACAGCCAATGCTGTCCCAGAAGCTAAAGGCCACAAAACATTCTCTGAGCAACCCAGGACAAGGGGCTCCGGTGCAGTGAAGTGGTGCGTGAGAATGAGCAGAGGCCTGTGATCTGACCAGCTAGTAACTTATTCATGAGGGTGCCACCTGACGCTCCCCGAGCACGCCAGCTC